TAGTCTATTAATTCGTTATGCCATACACAAAAGTTGCCAGTTTGAGGTAAACATTTTTTTCTAGAAGCCATATGTCAAATATTTTCTTACTCAAACTGAAAAATAAAAACATTGGCATTGGAATGTAAGCTCCATGAGGACAGGGATTTGTATTTGATTCATTACTATAACAATAGGAGCTAGAACAGTGTCTATCTGATGCACAATAGGAATTCAAATGACTCAGATAGTCTTCAAACCTAATCCTGATTCCCACACACCCTGTGTCTTCTAGTAAAATACTAGCCATTGAATACCAATGAGATACTTCACAACCTGGGAAACCCATCACTCAAACATGTCTAGCTCTTTGCCTTTAAGTGTTAAACAAAAAACATTTGCTTGTTTCTCAGACACTGATATTCTCCTTTTTTAACTTGTGTTTCATTCTACCATTTTTCTAGCTAACACTGAAATCCTGCTTTTAAAATAAAGCAGCACATGAGCATAAATACTCTATAAAGGGTCCAACGGGCCTTTTAAAATAGGCTATTTTGATGCATTAAAATAGTTCAAGGTGGCACATAAGCACATGACAAGATACTCAAAATCATATGTCATTAGGGAATTGCAAACTAAAAGAACAATGAGCCCTGGCCAAGGGGTGGGGGTATGAGGAAGAGATGAAGCACAGAGATGGAGCATACAGGATTTTAGGGCAGTGAAAATACTCTGTATGCTATTATAATGATGGATACGTGTCATTATACATTTGCCCAAACCCATAGATTGCACATCACCAAGAGTGAATCATAATGTAAACTATGAACTCTGGGTGATTATGATGTGCTAATGTAGGTTCATCAATTGTAACAAATGTACCACTCTGGTGGGGCATATTGATTATGGGAATAGCTGTGCAGGTGTGGGGGCAAGGGGTATATGGGAACTCTGTATCTTCCCCTCAGTTTTGCTGTGAACCCAAAACTGCTCTGAATAAATAAAGTCTATTAAAAAATATATATATATAGTAAATATTATATATTTCAACTGAAAAATATTCCTAAAATAATTCACTTTCATAACAAAGTAGCAGGTGTAGTGGTTTGTTTTATTCAAAGGAGAAGACAAAATTAAGTCTTTTTCTATTTTTTATTTTTTAATTTCTTTATTGATTAAGGTGTTACATATGTGTCCTTATTCCCCCATTATTCCCACTAACCCCTCCACTCATGCCCTCACCCTCCACCCACCCCCGTTGTCTGTGTCCATTCGTTAGGCTTATATGCATGCATACAAGTCCTTTGGTTGATATCTCACCCTTACACCCACTCTCCCCTATTTCACTCTGAAGTTTAATGGTCTGATCGATGTTTCTCTGTCTCTGGATCTATCTTTGTTCATCCATTTTATGTTGTTCATTATATTCTATAAATGAGTGAGATCATGTGATATTTCTCTTTCTCTGACTGGCTTATTTCACTTAGCATAATGCTCTCCAGTTCCATCCATGCTGTTGCAATGGTAAGAACTAAAATGAAGTATTTTTATAGAACACTTAATCCAGATAAGATTTTCACTCTTCCTGAAACATTACGGTAATCTTAATTGTATGCTTATTAAGGAGAACATCTGACTGTTACTATAGAAACTATCTGAGCTAGCTAGTGCTTTCATGATTTGAGCAGTTATACCTGTTGGGCCACTTAATCCTGAACTTACATCTAAATATTTTAAAGAATGGCTAATGTTGCCTAGCCAGTGTGGCTAAGTGGTTGAGCACTGACCCATGAACCAGGAGGTCAGGATTCGAGTCCCAGTTTGGGGCTCCATCCCCAGTAGAGGGCATGCAGCAGGCAACTGATCAGTGATTTTTCTCTTGGCATGGATGTTTCTATCCCTCTCTCCCACTTCCTACATTTTATCTGAAATTGATAAAAACATATTGAAAAATGAAAGAAAGAAAGAAAGAAAGAAAGAAAGAAAGAAAGAAAGAAAGAAAGAAAGAAAGAAAGGAAGGAAGGAAGGAAGGAAGGAAGGAAGGAAGGAAGGAAGGAAGGAAGGAAGGAAGGAAGGAAGGAAGAAAGAAAGAAAGAAAGAAAGAAAGAAAGAAAGAAAGAAAGAGGGAGGGAGGAAGGGAGGGAGGGAGGGAGGGAAAGAAAGAGGGAGAAAGAGAAAGAAACTAAGAAAGAAAAACTAATATACCTATAGTGTGGTGCAACTCAAGGTGAATGAAGAATGTGTGTGCACATATACATATACATATTCAGACACATATCACCACACAACACCAAAGTAGTTGGTAAAAACTAAGTGGCTGTTGGCTGCTGGCTGTGTTTTAATCTCTTCCAATTACATTTCCCTGTCTAGGATGCCTCTCCTGTTCATTTTCACCTGTAAAAACAATATTGGAGCCCAGCTGGTTGAGCATTGACCTATGAACCAAGAGGTCATGATTCCATTCCCTTGGTCAGAGCACTTGCGTGGATTTCCAGCTCCATCCACAGTGCAGGCATGCAGGAGGCAGCTGATCGATGATTCTCTCTCATCATTGATCTGCCTCTCTCTCCCTCTCCCTTCCATTCTCTGAAAATCAATAAAAACGTATTTTTTAAAAGGAATACTGGAGTGTTCAGATTGTGTTCGGTTAATAGAAAAGGGTGCATTTTGTTTTGCTGGCTGAAAGGGGGAGCTTAAAACCCTGAGATGTACTACAAGCAATCTGATGGTCCCCTTTTGCCAGTCTTTTTGCAAGCAGATTTCCACAGAGCATCAAGAATAGAATCTCATTCATGCAAAGGCACTGTGCCTTGGGTTCTTAAATTACCTATACCTCACCGGAGCATGGGTTCTAACACCGAGAAAGCCCTCTCCCCAACTCCCAAGGAGCAGTCAACCAACATACTCAGATTTAATATACACCCCTTCTCACACTCCCTGCATCACTAACAACAGCATAAGCCTTCATAGGTGCCCAGCTGTCCCTTGCTGTGCAGTCTGTCACGTATTCCTCTTTGAGTGGAGAAGGAGTGACAGCATTTAATCAATTGATTATGCTTGGGAGTATTCTGAGGGCCTGATGTAATAACCACGTTTGCGGGGGGTGTTGTTGTTGTTGTTTAATATATTTTATTGATTTTTTACAGAGAGGAAGGGAGAGGGATAGAGAGTTAGAAACATCAATGAGAGAGAAACATCGATCAGCTGCCTCCTGCACACCCCCACTGGGGATGTGCCCACAACCAAGGTACATGCCCTTGACCGGAATCGAACCTGGGGCTGACGCTCTATCCACTGAGTGGTTTCAGCACGGTTTGTGTTTGAAGGCACCGACTTTTCCTCTACCTGGTCCAACTCAACTGCTCCACAGCAGTGGCAGAGCTATCTACATATCAAGGAATTTTTCAAATGTATTGGGTGGCCTTGGTTAATAAAATGATACAGGTTCAGGGATACATTTCTACAATACATCATCTGTATATTGTGTTGTGTTTACCAGCCCCAGTCAAGTCTCCTTCCATCACCATTTTCTTTTCTTTTTTTAAGATGTTTTATTGATTTTTGTACAGAGAGGAAGGGAGAGAGATAGAGTTAGAAACATCAATGAGAGAGAGTCATTGATCAGCTGCCTCTTGCACACCCCCTACTGGGGATTTGCCCGCAACCAAGGTACATGCCCTTGACCAGAATTGAACCCGGGGCCCTTTAGTCCCCAAGCCGACGCTCTATCCATTGAGCCAAACCTGTCCCGGCTCAATCACCATTTTCAAGGACTTCTTAAGGGACAATCAGCCACGCTCAATTCTGTGAATACTAATTATATTTTCCAAAATCCTGAATGCTAAAAGGTGAAAGATTACAGCATGGCTAAAGTTCCGCTCACATACAGGTATAATCATGCTCGGGCGGTATTAAAATATATATATATATATATATATATATATATATATATATATATATATATATATATATATATAAACAATGATATTGCAAGTGAGCCATAAAACCCTCGGTGCACCTCTGGAATTAGATTTTAAAGTATCACTCCCCACTCTAAATATTCCATGGATACTAACCTCATGCTGGCTATTGCTTGTAGCAAAAGCTTCATTTCATGTTTTGGACCTGATAGGAAGTCTCTCAGGACCATTTCGTGCCGGGAACATCAAAAGACAATGTGCTTATCAAGTTGTCTCTGTCCAAGCTCCAAGGAGAGCACAAAACAAAAACAGCATCTGCTGTGGATCATCCCCTCCTCATCTCCCAGGTTGGAAGCAGCCAAAAGAGGTAGCTGTGACACATGTCACTTTCCAATTCTATTCCCAAGTCCAGGCGATGATGACATGGGCGATACAGCTGTCCCCCACAGTGGACCTCGGCGTCCACCTCTAGCCCTAAATTGGAAGCTTGCTCTGTCCTGACAGATGTCTTCTTACAGCCCTTGTCCACGCTCTGCAACTTGTCACTATGCCTTTCCAGTTTCATACCAATTTTCAGAAATATGTTAGTAGGCAATAGATAGGGTAGATATATACGTAGAGAGAGGCAACGTTTAGCCTTGGGCCCCCGGCCCTAGAGACATACCCATCACACATTCTTCAAGTTCAAATCCCAGCAAGGCACCCCAAGCGCCCACCCCTTTCCCACCCACCTAGGAGAGGGAAGGGCAGGAGCCCGGAGCAGAGGTTAAAGCAGACACCAGCCAAAAAAAAAAACAAAAAACACTGCTTCCAGAACAGGGCAAACTTTAGGTCTGGGTGGCTTCACAGCCCCAGAAATGGCTGGAGGATGGGAGGGAGCACCGTCCGGCTCAGGGAGGAGGACGCTGAGCGCACCCAGCACGGCATGCTGCAGAGGAAGCTGGTGTCCCCCGGGAACAAGGGCTTCGTCTCCGATCCCAGCTGCGAAGCCCCTGCCTCGCCACCTGCCCGAGGCCTCCGGGTCCCCGTGAGCAGCCCTGTTGCCCCACCCCTTGTCCCTACACAAATGATCCCCTGGGCCGCAGGGACACGGGGACCTACCTGGTGCAGGGTCTCGGCGGGGAGCTGCGACGCCCGAAACAGGTCGGCCACGGGCCCCGCGGCTGCGGTGGCCGCGCCGGGGGCGGCCCTGGCGGCCTCGGGGGGCCCGGACCCGGGGCCCCCACTTGCCGCGCCGGTGCAGCGCGCGAACAGCTCGGAGTAGCACTGCTGCTCGCCCTCGCTCAGCAGCAGCGGCGGCCCGGAGCCGCAGCCCGCGCCCGCCGCCGCCTCCATGAGACCTGGAGGAGAGCCCGTCGGAGCGCTGTCCCTGATCGGGGTGCCGCCGCCTTCCCCGCAGCCTCCGCCGCCGAAGCCTCGGCCTCGGCCGCTGCCGCCCCCACGCCCCGCAGCCGCCGCGGCCTCTCCCTCCGCCGCCGCCCCGCCCCCGGCTTCAATGTTGTACCTCCGCGGCGCGGCACATGGAGACAGGCTCCGCGCGGGCCAATCGGAGCCCGGGGTCTCGCCCTGGCCCCGCCCCCGACCCCGCCCCCGCCTCACCTGGTGAAAAATACCGCGCACCTCCCGCCAGCGGGGGGTCAACAGGCTCCGCCCCGCGGTCCAGCAGCAGCTGGCTGGGCCAAGGTCCCAGGAGTGCCCAGTGCACCTGAGGGCGGGGATAGGTGTCTTTGCTGTCTGGCCTGGCGGGGAAGGGACCCACCTGCAGAATGGCTCTTTTTTTAAAAATATATTTTATTGATTTTTTTTACAGAGAGGAAGAGAGAGGGATAGAGAGTTAGAAACATCTATGAGAGAGAATCATCGATCAGCTGCCTCCTGCACACCCCCTACTAGGGATGTGCCCGCAACCAAGGTACATGCCCTTGACAGGAATCGAACCTAGGACTCTTCAGTCCGCAGGCTGACGCTCTATCCACTGAGCCAAATGGTTTCAGCTGGAATGGCTCTTTTCAGCGTGGGGAGAGCTGTTTGCTCCCTAGGATGCTGGAACAAGTGCCTTCCAGAAAGGGGACCACCGCGCCAGGGAAATGAGGCGTCCCTGTCTCCACCGCTGTGCTGGTTAGGGCCTAGAAAGCTGAAGGATGGAGATATTCCTGCGACTGAGGTCCCAGTGACTCCCCATCGTGTTCAGGGTGGCCACGAGGTTAGGCCACTTTCTGAGAGAGGGCTCAAAGCTGGAGTTGAGCCTTCAAAAGGAATGACATTGGTTAGTTCATATTCAAGACGAGTAATGGGAGTAAAAAAAGGCCCTGGAAAGACTTGCACGTGTACATGCATTGAGCCTCTCTGGGAAACACTAACCAAGAGGAAAAATAGACTTCTCCAGTGGCCTTCCGAAGGCTGAGGCAGCGGTGGGTGGAGGAGACCCAAAGGGTCATGCGCACTCTCCCCTTTCCTCTGTCTCCAGGCACCTCCCTGTTCTCTCATCCCCCTCCCCATCCCCTACCCCATCCCTCACGCCCCCGCCCCCTCTTATTCTCAGAAGCAAGACTGTCCCAGCCCGGATGTGGCTCATGGACAGCAGAAGATTCAGTCTCAGCAGAAAAATGACAAAAAGCAATCTGGGCAAAAGAAGAAACAAGGACAGGACTAAAAGGCTGCTGCCAAAGCCGCCTTCCTATACACCTGCACTGTCTGTAGGACACAAACGCCAGGCCCTAAGACCAGCAAGCAGCCCTTTGAGAGCAAGCATCCTAAGACTCCACCTCCTCCAGAATCAGCTGATGTCCCCGCATCATGTTGTTTACAAGTGAATTCATGACACCTTTGACTCTTCCACTGTCTCAGGCCTTAGGTAGCAAACTGTAGCTGCTTTTATAACAAACTGTTGATCAGCAAAAATAAGGGGGCTACAGAAACACTCGTTTTTATGCTGTTCCCTTTTGGGCTTCATACAAAGACAATTCTGTGTACATGTACAGTTGATTCTCATTTGGAAATCTGAAAATCAGTCCATCCTTGTTATAAAAATGTTTCACAATTGTAACTACATTGAAGTTCAGATTGTGTAAAATAACTCATTTAACAAAGAAGTACTTTGATTTTACAACAAGAACAAACGACATCTCATGAAATAGCACGGATGATACAGACTTTGGTATTTGGGTCAGCTAAAATAAGGACCCAGGACAGAAAAAGAAAAAAACATCAGCAGATGGTTAAGGAGTGGGGAGATACAGAAGAAGAAAAAAGAAAAATTACGTAATTCGTAAATGATGGCCAAACAATTCCCTTTTGGAATCTAAAGAAATGAAATAGAGGAGAGGATCCGCTCCAAAAGCAGGCAGTTCTTCACTAAGTTTTCCTTACATGACATTTTGCTTCCGGCCTGCCAGGAGAGAATTAAGACAGTAGTAGGCTTGGGACAAGAAAGTGTTGATTGATACAGGAAGGATAGGTAAGTTGGGAGCAGCAAAGACTAACTTAGCTTGGGAAAGTTCCACTTCAAAATCTCACCACCATTGTATTTTCCACAACAGTAATACCTTCTCGGGAAAATTGCAAGCCAAGAAATCATATTGATTCTCTTCTACCATCCCACCAATACTTGGGCTTCCCTGAGAAAGACCCACCATTCTAACAAAAATTAAAAAGGGACCCACTGCCAAAACTAGTTTGGCTCAGTGGATAGAGCATCAGCCTGTGGACTGAAAGGTCCCAGGTTCAATTCCCGTCAAGGGCATGTACTTGGTTGCAGGCACATCCCCAGCTGATCGATGATTCTCTCTCATAGGTGTTTCTAACTCTCTATCCCTCTCTCTTCCTCTCTGTAAAATATCAATAAAATATATTTTTTAAAGGGGCCCACTCTTTGTGATAAATGCCAAACCCTAATTTCCCCTATAACTCCTACGAAAAGAAATATGAGGTGTGATAATCTTTAACATTCATATAGTTCAAAGCTACATTACCTCCTTTAAGCCTCACAGTAACTCTCATTAGGTTGGAAAAACTTTTTTAAATATATTTTATTGAATTTTTTACAGAGAGGAAGGGAGAAGGATAGAGAGCTAGAAACATCGATGAGAGGGAAACATCGACCAGCTGCCTCCTGCACACCCCCTACCGGCGATGTGCCTGCAACCAAGGCACATGCCCTTGACCGGAATCGAACCTGGGATCCTTCTGTCCACAAGCTGATGCTCCATCCACTGAGCCAAACCTGTTTCGGCTGGAAAAACATTTTTATCTAAATTTTACAGATGAGAAAATGGATGCAGAGATGGTGTGATACTATATTTGAAGCTGGTCTGTATTACTCAACTCAGTGTAATAAATTTGACAGATATTTCTTAAGCACTAGATAATGCAGAGATGGGTAGAAAGTCTCACATCTGTGCCTATCAATCAACGCTTTCTGGTAGAACATGGAGTATTGATGGTGCCCCTCCAGGAGTACTGTGAGGGATTTTAAAAAATAAAAATGTGTTGCTTTCAAGGAGTCTGCAAACCTCACCAGAAAAGACAAAACTGACACAACAAATAAAAACAAACAATAAAAGACAATGTATAATTAAGTGCTAAATTGTGTACTCCGGGCTAAGTGCCATGAGAGTTTGGAGAAGAGAGAAAATCCATGAGCCAGAGCTCAACCAGGAAGGTTTGATATAGGGAACCCAAGATGGATATTGAAGAATGGGTGGGACTGGAAAAGCTAAAGGACCAGACCAAGAGGTAGGGTCACGGGAGAGGCAAGAGCCCCAGAGACTTGGTGCCAAGGATGAGGGACTACAGGCAGGAGCAGGAAGGAGGGGCAGCCTCTGATGGGTTCTGGGATGCTTAAGGGAAACTGCTCAACAACGGATAGCTGGATGGATGGATGGATGGGTGGATGGATGATGGATGGACGGATGGACGGGTGGGCGGATGGAGAAGAGGCACACCTAGAGTGACCCAATAGTAATAATATTTAAAACAAGGACACAGGAGGAGAAAATGGCATTTTAAAAATGTTTTAATATCTAAGGAATTCTAAGCACTGTTCTTTACTCCTACAACAGCTTTATTAATACAAGAAATAGTTATTAAACTTCAAAACAGACAGATAAGAATATAAAACTATAAACACTCATATCACTTAAGGCTGACAGTAAATAAGAGCATTTTAGAAGAGAATTTCTGTATACCCTTGCAGTTCTAAACTTACACATTTGTTTCAGCTCCATCATGGCCAAAAAGATAATGTATTTGGGAACAGCCAAGAGACAGTCTTTAAGTTATGCTTTTTTTTTTCCTTTTAAATCCAGCATCAGTGCCCCACATAAAGATGGCCACATACTCAGAACAAGGTAATGGTTACTTCTAGGGAAACGTTTTCTAAAGCAGGGGTTGTAAAACTAAGACCAGTTGCCTGATTTTGTATGACTCATGAACTAAGAATGGGTTTTACATTTTTTTATTGGCTGAAAAAAATTAGTGTTTCCTGTGCACCGAATAATATTTCAGGACACATAAAAATTATATGAAACTTACATTTGCCAAGCTGGCATGGCTCAGTGGTTGAGCATTGAACCAGAAGATTGCAGTTTGATTCCCCATCAGGGCACATGCCTAGGTTGCAGGCTAGATCCCCAGTGTGGGGCATGCGGGAGGCAGATGATCAATGATTCTCTCTCATCATTGAGTTTTCTATCTCTCTCTTCCTCTCCCTTCCTCTCTGAAATCAACAAACATATGTATTAAAAGAAAAAAATATTTTGGTGTCCATAACCAAGTTTGGTTGGAGCACAGTGATGTGTTTGTTGTCTGTGGTTATTTTCACAGTATGATGGCAGAAGTGGGTTGTTGCCTAAAATATTTACTCTCTGACACTTTATTGAAAAAAACTAGTGGCCCAGTGCACAAAATTCGTGCATGGGGGGTTGTCCCTCAGCCCCGCCTGCACCCTCTACAATCTGAGACCCCTCGGGGATAACCAGCTAGTCGGACATCCCCCTCACAATCCAGAACTGCTGCCCCTAACCACTCACCTGCCTGCCTACTGCCCCTAACTTCTTCTGCCTTCCTGACTATCCCTAACTGCTCCCCTGCTGGCTTAATTGCCCCTAACCACCTTTGTCCCACACCTGGGACCCAGGATTCCCTCCTCCAGCCGACCACAGGCACCCAGGATCCGGGCTTCCCTCCCTCTGGTCAGCCATAGGCACCCAGGCCGACTGCAGCCGCAGGGGATGGTGGGCAGGTGGCTTCGCTTGGGCTGCAGCAGCAAGTGCTGGCATCCAGAACTGCGGGGTGGGCGACTTCTCTGTCTACCAGGCTGTAGCCAGCCGCAGGTGCTGGTGCCTGTGACCACAGGCAGGTGGCTTCTCCATCTTCCCTGGGATGCAGTGGGGGTGACTTTTCCTGCTGGCTGTGGCTTGGGATCATGG